TATATATAATGTTACAGTTGTCGTTAGTTTTGCCTTTTTTCGTTGTTTTTGTTTTGTTATTAACGTATCCCGCTCGCCTATTTGCTTACGTCCGGAACCCGATACTCCTCTTTCTCCACGTCTTCTCTTCACCAAAAGCTGGCGATGGCGACGCTTTAATCAAGAACATGCTCTACCACCCCATTGACAACTACTTGCCTACCTATACGAACGATCCGTCGTTAGCGAATTTTGAGCTTTGCCGTAGACCCGGAAATAACTCGTCTGTAAACAGGCGTGAAAATAACCAGTCGCTAACGAGCACAGTGACGGTCGAAGAAAACACCTACCAGGAAATTGAGGACTTGACAACTTACGGTAGTCAAGAGGATAGCAGAAATGGTGACTTGTATATAAACGTTGCAGATGACAACGCCATGAAATCAGCATCAGGAACGTGGTTCCATTCAAGCGTGGCAAACCTCTACTGTGATATCGACTCACTTGACCAACAAGACGTAGCGAACAACAATGAGCTTAGCTCAATAACAAACAAAATGTCACTACAGCAGCAGTTATCTGATTACAACCAGAGGCCACAAAGTCTAAGTCTTAATAACGGGACGGAATCTAAAGTAGCATCGAGCCCTGTTAAAGACCGACCTTCAAGTTTAGATGTAAAGACATTTTCAAGGTCACTCTCTTCGCAGCGCTTTTCACCGGCAAAGTTGACCCATGTCAACTACGAAGACATCCTCAACATGATCCATCAAAATCCAGAACTAGATGCGAAGGAAAAAAAACGCCAAAGCAGTATCTACGAATTGATTTCAACGGAACAATCTTATGTAAAGGTAGGCCATACTAAGAAAATTTCATCAACTTAAATATGTGTAATTTTATCAAGCTTGTGGTTTTTTGCATTTTCTCAGACTTATATTCCGAAATATTTGCACTTAGCATCCTGCAGTTTCGTAAAGAGGGTGTCACTCCAAAGTGAATAAAAAAATTCCATCCTGATCTTCGTTAACATTTAGCTAAAATATAAAATGTGTGTAACAATGCAAATAACAGTACATTAATTGATAAAATCGATAATATTTAAACAGGATTTTTTAATCAATTATCATTGCTTTAGTTATTTCATGCGTCTAGTAGTGATGTAACAAAGTGATCCCCTCAGTGTCGTTCAAAGAGTTTCCCAATTTACCTTTCATCTTTTAGGATCTGATGCTGGTAGAAAAGTATTTTGTGCGACCGATGAAGAAGAGTGGTCGCGTAAGTGCTGAGGATGCTTCTAGGATGATAGCCAACTGGAGGGAGCTAATTACGTGTAGCGATAAAATTCTCAAAGCCCTCAAAATACGTCAAACCATGAGTCCGGATCACGTCATTGTCACCATTGGTGATATCATCGTTGAAAATGTTTGTATTCATAAAAATGGATGTGAATGTTTTTTAGGTGTTTTTCTATAGTCTAATGTCAAATCAGGTCTCCATGCGTCATTAGCTAATGTGAATCTTACTCCAAAAATGTCACTATCCTTTCATAGCTTTTGTTATACATATGCGTGAAGAGATGGTAAATTATCTTTCGTGTTCTACATGTTTCGAACCTCGTCACATTCTAGACAACAACCCTTCAGCCCTATATTCGATTCTGCTCGCGCCAGTCTCAAGCGATGCAATTGATTCAGCAACGGACAGAACAGGATCCATGGTTCGGGGAAATTTGTAAGCAGTTTTCGCGGAATCCGCTCGTCAATGGTTTACCTTTAACGTCTTATCTATTAAAACCGATGCAACGAATCACCAAATATCCGTTACTTGTCGATAAGGTACAGTACAGACAATCACCATGATGTGCTCGTTTGACATAATCATTACATGCATCCCACTCCAGGAGCGTGTAATGTGGCGTATGTTGGCTTTGGGATAAGATACATGCATATGAAAGAAAATGAATAATATTATATAATCATATCGTAGCCATAGTCAGGTAAACGTCATCTATATAGTTCATTATAGAGGTGCCTTACAATCTGGTATTGTGACATATATCGCATTGAAAAAACAATAACCTAATCTACATGTAACATTTTTTTTGAAGATCTTGAAGAACACGTCGAGTAATCATCCTGATCACTGTCAGCTTAGCGAGGCATCACGGCGTATGGCTCAATTGTGCTCACAAATTAACGAAGCTGTACAAATGGTGGAAAACACGGAGCGACTCGAGTGGTGTCAAGGCCATTTGTTACCACATTCTAGTAGTTCGTCATCATCGGCATCACTTTCAGGAAGCTCGGCAGCGGTATTTTCTTCTAACTTGCAGAGTTCATGTCCTCGGATCGTGTTTAATTCGTTCACCAATACCCTCGGTCCACGTAAACTTCTTTACCATGGGCCACTCGTTAAAGCCAAAAGTGGAAAGGAGCTTATTGGTTTTTTATTTAATGACTTCCTTCTGCTTACCCAGCCCCAAAACAAGGACGTTGCTAAGGTTAGCTTAAATAAGATAATATTTTTTTACTTTTAACGTAAATTGCATTACAGCTTTTTTAACGTATGGATACATTAAGTATTGGGGCAATTTGCCTGGTGATTAAGGGTTAACAGGTGATTCAAAAGCGCTGAAAAATGGTACTATGTTTGTTACGAAATGTCATCTAAACTAGTTAATGAAGTAAATATCCGTATCTTTGAATAAGAAAAATTCACAAATTTTAACTTACGTATTTAATTACAGGTATGATTGCAACATAGACCTCCTATTTGTAGAGGTTATTTGGTGCCATTTCCTATAAGCGAAAAGTAATAACTTCTGCTTCTTTCTATTATTCTCGTAGGTAAACAACGTCTTTACTGACGATCGCGCTCTTAAATCGCAATACCGCTTCTACAAGGAACCGTTCTTTATCGAGAAGCTAAAACTTAACGAGCCAATAGTGGAAGGTCCTGGAACTGAGGGGCTAATTGTGTTACATACTGAAATCATGGATCACATTGGTTTGCTCAATAAGTATGAGTTAAGTGTTCGCGCAGGTGGAACCCGCGAGCGAACAGGTTGGCTCACAAAGATCCGACAAGCCATTGCCAATTATGAGGAAGTCGACAGAAAGAATCGCCAGTCATGTGAGTGTGACAGAAGCTACCAAGAGCTAAAATAAATTGCTTTGTACTAACCTATCGCTTAATTAATTTTACATCAACAACACATGCTCTTCTTGTACATCAATTTTTACCGTCTTTATTGCCATTACTTCTGTATCAATTAAGGCTTTAACTTATGTAAGCATTATGTATGGCAAAATGTAAAATAGCCACCACAATGATGTCATGTATCATCATTATTGGTATTATTATCCACTGTAGATAGGGAGACGAAGCAAGGGCTAAAACTACAGACCGCGAGGTGGAGGTAATTGGCTTGCTGATGCTAGCTCCCTAATACAACCATATCTCTTTTACCATAGTCGGGGCTGTAATACAAGAGTATTTTAGTTTGATCAGGAAATATAATGTCCTTACTGATAACGCGTTTGTATTTGTCTGGATGTTTTCCACCTCAATATTTAGCGTTGAACCAATTGGAACTTATGCACAGCGGCTGCGGGCGCCTTTTGGTGGTTGTTCAATGTGCGAAACAGTTGACACGGGTCAGTTCAGAGTCGCAAGACACATTTTGCTCTTTATCGCTAGGGGGCCAAACGCATGTAACCCCAGTAGTTCCGTCATCGGTCAATCCGTCTTGGAACGCTACCATGCAGTTTATAGTCAGAGATCTCCGGCAGGAAGTACTCTGTATCACTGTTCTTCAGAGGCAGAGGTTTTCTCCAAACGGTAAGATCGTCAAAATTTACGTTCTCTTAATTCCATTGCTATAAAATTGGATTGATTGAAGGATGTAATTATATGGTAATTTAAGATTTGCCATATGATTAAGACGTATAGCACATGGTTTCCACATAATATCATAGTAACTAAATAAATTTGAAACATAGGTATGAGAAGGAATGTATTGGACCCGAAGTTTTGGATGTGTTTATGTTTTGTGTTTCTTGCTCGTTATCGCATCTGTAAATATTCATATGTATCTTATATTTTCTATGGCTGCAATGTTTGCGATTTCAGAGTTCTTAGGTCGGACCGAAATTCGTGTGAGCGAAGTATACGAGCGCCGTCAGCGTTCCTTAGGGGTGATAAATTTCACTGACCTCCGACTGCTTGAGGTTCCATCAGGAACCGTTAGTCTTCGGGTAGACTTGCAGCTATTTAGAGAGGCGCCACAGATTATATGATCGAAAATTCAATCCGTAAAAGACAAGAGACTTAATTATTGAACCAAAGCATTCATTAGTTGAAATTGAGCATCTGTAGAACATCAGCATTCATCTACATTGACGATATGTCGTTTATGACATCTTTGCTGTGCTCGTGGCTGGTCTCAATAGGATTTATGGTTTGTTCATTTGCTTATAGTGCTACACTTGTGGCGTATATTCCTTGCGGCAGCGGCAGCTTATTTTCCGACAGGTTCATGGAGACATGAACATGTGGAATTTACTAAAAATTATTACACATGTCGTCAATCTTCGGTCCTCATATCGCGCATTGTTGGATCAAATGTCGTGAATTTTTGTTTTGTGCAGCACTCATTTCGGTTTATAATGAAACCAGTATTGTTTGACAATGAAACTGTCATTATTTTAGTTACTGTTAATACGACTAATAAGTGGCTATATCAACGCACATTCTAGGTGTAGTATATATATAGTAGTAGTAGTAGGTATGGTAGTATAGGTGTAGTATAGTATATAGTAACGTATTGATAAAAAAATCTATCTTCACTCGTCATAGTTATGCAGAAACCAAGCTCTGTTCGTATATTAGGCCAACCCATATAGAGACAACCCACATAACCTTTGACTAATTCTATTCCATATTCTTTGAGTACTTGAAATTTATTAGTTTTTTTTTATCCATATGCGGTAAATCACAGTTAGCTTCGGTCAACAGCATTTCTATCAGGATGATTTGTACACAGGGAGGAAGAACAAAAGCCAGTTGCGTTTGTGTATGTACCTGAAAATTCGAAAACTTGTCTTTAATTTTTTTCATGTAAATATCAGTTTTTGTTCCAAGTATTCTGAATACCTTCCGGCTTACACGGTTGATACATGCATTGGGCTATCCTTATGGAAAAAAACACAATATATCCGCGAGCCAAGGGATTCTGGAGAACCTCTGTTGTATATACATGCTCACAATGACAAAATAAACCGTACACAAATAAATTGTACACGTCCTGATGGTCCTGTTTTCGTGTAAAGATTTAATGCATATGGTTGTATTAACTTGAATATTTTTGTCGACGCTAATACTCAACTATTTATAAAATATTTTATAGTAATATGGCATTGTATTGTATGACAGCTGTTAAGCGCAATGTTGTTCGTATATAGCGGAAACAGTTAGTCGACACCCGCCGCAGCGGTAAAGACCTTTACTAAGCTTTTGAAGTAGCTGTGATGGTGAACGAAAATAAATTAGTTTACTATTTGTCTTTATTGTTATATATATAGATTATATATATATATATATATATATAATCTATATATATAACAATAAAGACAAATAGTAAACTAATTTATTTTCGTTCACCATCACAGCTACTTCAAAAGCTTAGTATATATATATATATATATATATATATATATATATATATATTATATGCTCAACTGTTCAATGATTTCATCAACTATTTACGTAGTTGGTCGACAACTACAAAGAGTCTCTTTCACATAAAAATTTCAAGAACAACGACAAGATAATTATTTTTGGGTCATTTCTTTCGATAACGCATCTGTAGTACAAACAGCAAAATTTTTTATAGGCCTAGGCGGCATTTGTACCTTTATTGTAACCAAATTGTAAAATATAGCGGTTTTTTTTTGCAGAAATTTCACTAAGCTAAAGGCGCTCCACATTTATTCCTAATGTGTATTGTATTCCTAACACCTTTATTCCTAAGGTGTTCCAATAATTTTAGCATATCTACTGCTGCCAAATTCAATCGGAAGCGAGGCGACTCATATAGCTGAGATATGTTATTTTAAAGCTAGTAAAACCGTTAAGACTTTTTCCGCAACCCAACATATTAAGCAAAATGTATTTTTTGACGAATTGCTTTCTTCCACAAGTCCACAGGACTAAATTTGGTGGCGCTTATGTGTCGTACAGGGGAACTCAGGTGAACGGCAACTCAGTCATAGACGGCAACTTGCCCATCTGAACTACCACAATGGCGTGATTTGTCGAGTCGCTGGCTTGGCTAAAATTTAGTGTATTAATATTACATATTCTATTTAGCAGCATGGTTTCCTATGGACAGTGTTGAAGTTGCTAAAGAGATACATACGCTAAGATTCACATTTAGCAAGGACGTTTTTTAATGAACTATACGATAAAATGACCTTTATATAAAAATTTATTTTACAGCAGTTCTATAATCCTTACATTCACGAGCCCAACGGGCAGAACATCAGGCAAAAACATGCTTTATGTAATCTTTCTATTGAAGGATTTGTATCAGCGAATTACGTGAGTGCAAGCGCTGTATTGTATAAAGAAGCAGGTGTACACTGCACATATTTTAGCAGCACAAATTAGATTACAGTCCCTCAGTTTGATTGTTAGTGCTTAAGCAGTTAAAAGAAGAGCTAAAGTATTTAGGAAGGTCTGAGTACTTCTTGCTCATATTTATTTAATTTCTATTTCCTATTACATTTTCTTCTTTTGTCATTTAGCAACATACATACAACATATGAGTCAGATATATACACGGAGCACTCGGGTAGCTGGACCTGAGTCGAGAAATGTGGCACGACGATCAAATATTACATGGTGAGAACGCACTATATTTTTTCAAATATATATATATATACGTTTATATATATAATGTGTAAGGTGGAAGGGATATTCACATCATTGGCTTGCCTGTGTCTGTTCATATAGTCCTGCTTTATTTTCGCCGTTCGACCCCAAATCCACTTCCCCGAATGTTCTGGTATATAGTTCTTTTGCTTTTGTCCGCTTACCGGTGTGTGTTTTTATATATATATTCTTTTTTATGTTAAGAAGATTTTTTGTTTTCTGCGTAACATTTTATACTAATTATCGTCATGAAAATAACAGTTACGGCTAGGCACAATAGCGGCACTAGCCTAATCTCTAGACCAAATGATGATATTGTCGTATAAGTTTGATGTTCGTGCATGCAATAAGAACAACAGGAGGAGCGTCAGTTTATAAAGACAATAATAACTTATAAGAATAGCAAGGGTAATAATATATGCAAGTGTATGAGAGAACATGAGGTGAAGTTCACTTACCACTTAAACGTTCATCTGTGATACATGTGCCTACATACTTATGCTAAAAGTAATCATAATAATAGTTGTAGGATAATAATACGGTCACGTATGATAGCGTTGCGATTGGTTTTCCAAATTTCCCTCGGCGGAGGGGCACTATGCTATGCACGGCCCTTCATCTAAGACACAAGTACAGCAGAGCTGATTTGCCGACCAATGATCCAATCTTAAAATAAACGTTTATTTGGTATGCTACAGTTGTTTAGAATTAATTTTTTTTTTCTGCATTATATATATGTATATATATATATATATACATATATAAAATGCAGAAAAAAATTATATATATATATATATATATGCATACTAACAGTTATCTGTTGAGATGAAGTATAGGAAAGTTCAGTGCATTTTCATGTGCTAGTCTCGTGTGTGTGTGTGTAGGCGTACATACGATGCATTACATGAATTCTGTTAATATAAAGTCTATTGTTAGTTTTATGTGCATTCGATATAGATGGTTAATATGAAGCAAGTGTAGGTAATATTTGTCACATGATGTCATGAAGGGTAATGGCTAAACTGAATGGTTTCGTTCATGCTTCATAAACGGATTTTCCTTGGGAAACAGTTGTTGTTTAAATTTGTTTTCATTTATTGAATTTCTACTGTTTAGACAGTCACATAACTGAATTTTCTACCAGTAAAAACCAGTGGGTCGAAATTGTAAGGTGGAGTAGTCCCTGTTGCGACTACTGCCAACCCCATTACTTCGGGGATCCATTTATGCCGCTACCGATGACGACGGTTTTTGAACTTGTAGGGACGTTTTCAGCGGGGGGAGCCGATCCAGAGCTAGGAACCGCGGCAAAGGGTTTACCGGATTCTAGGTTTACCCTATAAAGACAGATAGGGCTGATTCAATGAATTAGGTGTATTATATATCTCATATTGCATTAAGAATCTTGAGCGAAATATTGGAGTACCTTTTTAAAAACATGGGCCAGGAACGAGAGGAACAAACTTGACAGAAGCAAGATAGAGCAAAGGCACCTTCCTTTTTATCAACTAGAGCTAACCCGACGGCTGCTACCCAAGCTTGAAATCTCTATATGACAAAATTGATTTTCTATTTACTTGCTAGTCTTGCAGGATTTTGTCTATTTTCTTGGCGACATGTACAGAATAGGCGAACAACATCTGACACCTGCAAATATTTAGGCTTCACTTACCAAATGAGTACGGCAATAACAGCGAGAACAAGAAGTGCTACCCCTGCAACGATAGGTAAATTATGCTTCTTCGGAGGTGGAGGCACAAATGATTTGCCGTTAGCCGTATGACTTTCGTTTGTGTAGGACTTGATCGTATGGTGCCGACGTGTTCGTACGATACTTCCGTCGTCTTGTATTTGTATTTTTTCGTGTTCTCTCGACAATGTGTTTGAAAAACCGTTATCGTCAACTATCTTCTCCGAGAAGCCGCTATTTTTGAAGTGTTCGGTGTTGTCGCTTGTAGCTCCAACAACATCGTACTCATCTGTTTCGTCCTTGTCGGCCTCGTCCTCTTCATCGGCTGAGAAGCTCGAGATGCCCTTGTCGTAGTTGTCGCCATCAGCTTCGTCACCGCCAAGAAGACGAATCAACTTTCGCTCGTAGATAGACCGCGTAGAGTCAAGGATGGGACCGACATGCTCACCTGAGGATACGGAAAATTAACAAGCATTAAAACTAAGCTTTTAAGCCTTCAGCTTGATAGCCACTGAATCAAATAACCCATTAACAATATGGCTAGATAATTTGTATGAATGAAAGAATTATTTAAAAAAAATTTGTGAATCAGTTGTTTGCTTGAATTTAAAAAAAAAAATGAAAAGACTTTGCTTATATAGCCCTATGGAGGTGATTCAGGCAATACCACAGTGAACGATGCATCTTTAGATTCAAAAGCATAGTAATAAAGAATCAAATGAATGTAGACAGTGCGCTATATGGCATTATTTTGTGCTTACCGAGCTCCTTAAGTTTGTAGAATATCTCGTCGTTCGTCAGATGTTTCACGTTGGTTGCGCTAGTGATATGTGAAGTGTCTAGAGCCACGGGTTCCTCCTCGTCCGAACTGAAACCACCGATAAGCGAATCGTTTGGAGATACTGTCGATACCTGTTGATCAAGTATTTTTTCTCGATATAGTTTTACCAGTTCGGCTTTTTTCATCTTCGAACCAGTCTTGACACCAACATCGGCCAGCGCATCGCGTAACTGATCCTTAGTCATACGTGACGAAGGCATCTGCGGAAAATAGAAAGGCCATACCGGCAGATTATGTGAATAACAAGCAGTCTTCATATTGCATTAATAACTAGTTTGATTTACAAAGGAAGAACATCAAGAACAGAATGTGTGTACAGGTTCACTTGTCTTTCTTCTTTGTGACATAATGACAGCTGTGCAATTTGCCTACCTGATTTCAGTTATTATGTCTTGTCTCGCAGGACATTTCAATTAAATTTGGTAATATTTACAACAGCTTTACATCAAAATTGTTATTTGGGTTTGATACTTATTGAATTGTTAGTGCTTCTGGCGGACCCTTATTTAGTAACCCTATAGCTGAGGTCAGAACAGCAGGTGTTAATGACTCTGTTTTCCGTAAGCCAGCTTTTCATGATTTGATTAGGACTGCTGACTTAGCTTTAGACTTTAACAAATTTTTTGGCTTATTTTTGTTCGATTAAATTCGAACAAACTAGAGCAAACTCAGTGGTATTTACATCACAAATGACCGTTTTGCGAAGCGCTATTTGTAAAATGGCTGTTTATAGAAAATTACTTCATTTTCTATCACAAAGAAATAATTAAAATAATTTTAATATTGATTTAAATGGTATAGATAAAGAAAACTTCTTAAATAATAGCAGCCTAGGTCATGGATGCAGGTAGAGTCCTAAATGTTACACATTTTGTCGTTGCTCTGAAAAAGCCTAGAACGTGCTGCTTTCCTAAGAAGGGATAATTTCTTTCTTGGGAATCGCGCCTATTTTTCGCATACTTTATGTCTCGACATACAACACGAAAGCTTCACGGAAGAGAGATACTCTTAAATACTTTGCAGCGCTTGCACCAAATAAACTGCAGGTTTCTAAGCATCTGCTTTCCTATCAGAAAATTAATTCACCAATTCTAGTGATTGTCAAGCTGCTCATATGCAATGTTAGTAAGCTGTACTTAAGTAATTATAAATTGAAGTTGGACTTTCAGGTCTACCGGAAGTGTCGTTATAGAAGTAAAGGCGTTAAAAATAGGATAAATTAGAGGAAAGGAGTAAAATCATTTCTGCCACTTTCAAATCTCCTTTTAGGGTTACTAAAACACAAATAGGTATGAGAAGTACAAGTCCTGTCAGTACCATGATGAATACTAGAGCTAAAATTTTGTATTTATGCCGATAAATTGTTGAGAGTTTTTCACAGAGCTATTTTTCGTCTGTAGCATCACTTAGGATTCATAGAGAATAATTAAGCTACACTGGAAGAGTTCTACAGAAAAGAAAGGTCATACTTAGTTGCAAGTACGCGAGAAATTAGGTCAATCACAGGTAGAAAACTTGATTTGTTTCCGAAAATCGTACAGAAATTATTCCGACGTTGTTATTGTTTGTTCTTCTAAAATTAATATATATATGAAATGTACCGTTAAGAGAACTAGTGACCTTAGAATCTTATAAGGTAAAACACCTCGTCAATGTGAAAGCAAAGGCAAATTCTTAATGTAGAGTAAAACTTAATATAATGTCATAGCAGCCCACTACCTCTTCAGTAATCATAACACTAAAACTGCGGAGCAAAGTCGTCAAAATCAGGAGCTGCATACAATGTCTTCCACGACCGCCTTAAATTCAAAGCGCAAAGTATTCCTTTAATCGAAAATATACTGTGATCTATGGAGACACTTACTGGGACATTCTTAGATCTTTAGGTAGGTGGAATTTGCATAGATATGTAAATTTGTAACAATGTGCATGGTCGAGCGATGAAATATCGATTCGGCTGCTCTATCCTTTTGTTTTTTTTTAATCTTTTACGCCTATTATTCGAGAGAGAAAAGATGTCGGATGCATCTAGGAGACGCCATTTTTTTTACAGATCTCGACAGGATGATGCACAAAGCACTGCAATAATATTTTACCTTTGGGTCAAAGTCAGTCCACCTGGTAGATGATGAATGATAGCAAATACGCTCTATTTTTTCTACGACGTATCTCTCTCTCTCTCTTTGCAAAACGGGCTTTCGAGCAGACGCCAATTGGCGCTTATCATTTTCCGAATAGTAAGATCTGCACAGCACAAGTAGATCACTGCAAGAGAATGACAGGACGTCTGGCGGAAAACCTATTGCTAGATAAAAATAGAACGAACCTTTTGTCACAAAACGCTAGTCAATTTGGAGTGTATACGAAAAGAACCTCATCCGATCTACTAGTTTATTGATATGGCTTGCATAGTAGATAATTAAAGTATCACTTAAATACAAGATTTGTTCTGATTAGATGAAACCAAAAATTATAATATGTAGTATACAAATATTCAATAGTATTTAACAAAGAGTATTGCAAAACAGTGCTTAAAATGATGTATTGGCTAGTGAGCGTAACGCGTACTTGCCGTAACCATCACAACGAACAAAGATAAAGTTGCGTACTCGGCCATGACATACATAGCGTCACCAAAAAACAATTAGCAGGCACTACCTGGCCTATTAGATATGGTCAACCAACCGATTAATATGAAGCCACTGTCAAGCGGTAAACAAAAAACAAGACTGAAACCGTCCTTTGAGGAGGCTGAAGAAAAGGATATGTTTTAGCCACTTTCTTATCAAACAGCTCCAAACCACCGCAAAAGGCACACCGAGAGTAACGATGACTAAGCGGAAATAGCTCCAGGCGGACAGTTTCGTCTTTACCTTTTAGTCATCAGTTCCTTTCATTTGGCAGACCTTAGTAGCGCCGCCACTGGGCCAATAACCGCAGGCCCAATTATCTTCTCCTTGCCATAATAATGATAACAATGGTAACACGTAATAAATATGCATCTGTTTGAAATGCGTAGTTTGTGTTATCGGAAGTAATTTCTAAACAGGAATTGAGATATTTAAGAATTCAAAGTATATTCAGTATTTCCTCAGTTTGCGACAAATTGATGTTAGCACCCTGTGGCTTATGCTAAATATATCAAGGTGACTATTGTGATATTGATTATAATACATCAATACTGCCACATGCACTCCAACTAAACTGAAGTTTTAAATTTCATAAATTCTAATTATGCAACTATAAAAATACAGATTAATATTCGATGAGTGCTAATGTATATATCAGAACATACATTTGTAGAACAAAATAATATCTGTTTCTTACAAGTTACCCTATTCGGTATTAGAACTGTCTCTTATCAGATTTTCATCCGATATTTGATACCGAAGTATAGTTCTCGGATCGAGTTGCCAATGTACTTATTTTTAAACGCTTTTGCTCGCGAACCACATTTATTTATTACTATATTCTACTTCGAAATTAAAAGCGACACGTAAAAAACCTCGTGGAAGACAAGCGGAAGCATTACAGGGTTCTACTGGCCACAAAGTGCATTTCTCGCATTACACTGACAGTTACAAACAAGTTAGAAATTTCAAACGCGCTTAGTTTAGATAAGTCATTCAGACAAATTATTTTATTACGAAAAACGCTGTAAGACTAAGATAACGTAATAGCCATTAACATAATTAGGCATAATAGCCATTTGGTCACTATTAAGAATGAACTTAGTTCAACGTTCAATAGAACCAACTGTTCAATAATACTTCCACTTATTTGTATTGCTGCTGCTCGTCATTCCAATATTTTTCATTTCGTTGGTAGCAGTACTAAAATCATTTGAAAAGTCGCGCTTAATTTCAATCGGCACTTCAGGTTCTAGCCCTGCTAACTTCCACAAGTGCGTTCGCAACGTCAAGGACTATTTCACTGGCTATTTACCTCACCACGCATGGAATTGTGAATTAATTTTTAAAAGATTTGAAAGCGATACACAATACTTTCAACAAGAAACGTTAACCGATTTAATAGAATTTTAGAACTTTAGGTGCATTTGTCGCTTAATGTTCTTCCGAGTGAATTTAAAGTTGCTTCTATGACAACCCGGAACCTTTATAGCAAAACAAATTATTTCTGTCGCTGGTTCTATAGCATACTTTCCACTACTCTGGACTCATCAAGAGATCAATGCAAAAGATGAAACCGAAAGAGATGTGCTTCGAGTTGTGCGTTCGGTTCTGGCGTTACACATTACCTAAAATGGCTGACACAAAACAAGCTATGTCTATCTCCGTTTTGAACCTTAACCACCTCAGGTGTTCCTAACCTTAGCAGGCAAACATGTCACGCTCACCTAATTACGGAAACTCAAGTTAAACGGTAGTACGATCCAAATAACGCTTTTCATTAAATTATCACGGAATAAAATCAATGCGAAAGGCGTAAGTGCTCCGAAACGGAATCACATTCTGCTGTGTTAACAATAATCTTTCTTAATCTCTTCAAGAATAACTTCAGAGAAATTGAAATTTACGACTTAGAAAAAGACATTTGACGGTCATATTACAGATATACTTTTATTATTAGTGTTATTGGTATTATTACTATGATTACGTTGTGGACCATTGTAATAATCGAAGTTCAAGGCTTTCCTACACGATATCGGGAAGCTGCCGGTGCTCGATGTAATTTCTAAACGTGCGATTCATTTATCGCTAAAACTAATAAGAGAGCAAGAACAAAATAATTAACAACCCTCATAGAGAAAAAATACTTCAATAAAGTGCTTCTACCGAGATGTCAGCTGCTCACTATGTGGGTTAAGCCAACCGGTTCCTCAAGTGAAGATTGACCGAGATACGACAGATGAGGAAGGGAGGCAACAGTCATCATTGGCACCTTGCTGCCCATATCGGCTTGGTTGGGCGGGTCAATGACTTCACATTACAGGAGAAAAATGTATGTACTCATTTCCCGCATAGTGGCAGAAGTACAGGTGATAGAGGCAGCGTCATCTAATAGAATGCTGTGCAGCTCGGTGCATATGGCTATTAGAAATGGTTAAAAACTATCCACAAACCTAAACATTCTACATGAAAAGCTCTACAAGTATTTCTCAGATTTGATATAGATTTATATTCCTATCTATTTATGCTACCAAATTTACTCTATATGTAATGCAATGTCTGGTATATAGAATGAGTTTGGGTACGAGCTATAGATTTGAGTTGATAAAATATAAGTCCTCCTAACGCTACGATTTTTAACGGCACTGATTAATTATACTAGAGGCAAATTAGGGGCAGAAGTAGAAAATATTTTAATTCGGTATCCGTTACGGAACAGTACCACTAGGGAAAAAGTAGTTTTGCAAAACGGATCAGGCAGAAACAATCGACAACATTAAAGCACTTGGCAACTTACAACGCATACAAATAACCAACTTTATACTAGATACTTTTTCTGTATTTGCGCCTGCAAGCTAGCTTATGGCGGATGTCATCAGATATACGAATTCGAAATGTTGCTGAAGCATTCCCAGTTTTCCATGACGTCAGCGACAAAAAACCAGTTATTAAAAAAAATAATCACATTACATTGCAAGTATCCAACAATACTGTTAATACGCGAATAACGTATCCTTTTTATGCACTTAGCAAGAAACAAGCAAACACATGCCGGTATTAACATACCAGGGAACTATTCAAAGGAAAGCCCATCGTTTCGCCGCTGTTAACCCACTTCAGATGTCCTACGACAAACAACAGCAGTTGGTTGGCAACTTGGCGACGTGGGATTTGGAGACCGCGATTCTCCGTTTGTACATTTGCTGCCTGTCCGGCGGGCAACTTCGAGCGTTGACCGCGCAAGAAAGAGGGAGAGAATTTATCTGGAAAGGCCAAAAGCACTGTCACTGGATTTACCTTGAGTATGAAGGCTAAGGCCGCCAAAAAGGGCGCTACTTCAAGGCACGGGTATGTCGCACTGCTACTGCCGAAAAACGTCTGGTGTAGAAGATGCACCAAGAAGCACAATCGCCACCAACGGGCCGATCGCTGTATGCGAATTTCCCTATTTCTGTCGTATACCGGGCCGATCGCACCCCGAAACCTCTTGCCGACAACAACAGCCGCCGTCATCGCCGCCGCGGCGCACAAACGGATCGGCTAGCTAACACGCGCTGCCACTGATGAAGTGATCTTTCTCTGGCTTATCGATAGGCGCATGTTGAGCGCGGGCGGTTACTCAAGGACGGACAATAGCGTAACAAGCTACGGTGAAGTTGCAAGGTTATGATTACTCTGTGAGAATTCTTGGGTTGAATGGAACTATCGACAGCAGAAATCTGTTGGGAGAGAAAAGTAAAAATTTCACTTCCTTTTGCTTTGCTATAAATGCAAATGAAATAGGATTTGAAAACTATCTAGTGTTCGTACCTTAAAATTGATACATTGCATTTGCTCATAGCCGCAATATTAATTGGGATGTAGATGCATCACCAAAGGACTTTGTTTAGGTTTTTCTTTGTTTATTTTTTCCACTATGGACTCGCATACATTTATGAGCAACTAGCTTTTCGAAAATGTTTTCAATTAAAATTTATACAAAAAACAAGAGAAAATACGATGTCCCAACAATAATCTAAATTCTTCCTTGGACTTGCCGAAACCCATGTGTACAAGACCTATCTAAATTTTTCAGGCGGAGGATCTCCGAGATTTACCAAAGAACACATGGCAAGCAGGTGCAACATGTAATCAGTAAGAATAGGAAATGGTGATTGTCAGACAGGTTTTTTGATAAAGTCTATACGGCCATAGAGTCAAAAAAGATGAAATCAATTATTAGGTTTTTATGCTAGTTTTAAAGGTAGAATTAGAATGACCATACACTATAAAACGATGAGGCAAGTCTTTCAAAAACTTTTTCTAAATATTTAAAGCTTAACTGAATACACATTTGCTATATATATATATATATATATACATATATATATATAAGCATTATCGAGCTCTTCAAATCGAAACCGCATTAACAATTTTCCTGTTTTCCTCATGGATATCTTTTTCGACTTTTTTAAAAGCTGCGCGCAAACTGTAAAACTAATAAAGCAGATTAGCGTTTTCTGCCAAAAAAAGGTTTTCAATCATCGTAGGTTTTTCCTGGATTTTCTGGATGTTAAGAAACTGGATAAACCCCAATGCTCGTTTAAATTGGAAAAAGGCGCACTATTATCCGCGATTGTGGGTGTTTGATTTGCCCAAAAAGAATTCCCTGTGTTCTAGTACTAACGGTAGCGGATAAGCGGACGCTCGCTATGACCGACACCCCGTTAACATTTGTTCTTCTTTCTAAATTAAAACGCGCCACTGAAATACACCCGAGTTTTAATTACAGTGACAACTTAAATTAAGTATATATAATATAACACTGTATATAATAGAAGAGGGCGCAAAGGCAATGTAACCTCTATACTCATAAAGGCGCCATTACCAGAGAGCAGCACAGTGCACAGAGCGCATACCACGTACAATTGTACGGTCCTCCTAGCGGAACGCGGGAACGTAAGTATTATATTCTTGCATATATATATAAAACGCATGCACCCATGCGTTGTCAACTTCAAATATATTTTAATGTAGCAGTTTTAACTCATGGCCGCGTATATCTTGGTTTTTAGCGGCGCTTCGATGATTTTACAAAAAATGTATAGATATGTGGTCGGAGCTCTTTCAGTAGAGAACCTGTAGTATTGTGAATTGGCTAAAAAGATCCTTCCTAACGCTATCGTTTCACTAACATTTCTCACAAAAGCTAGTTGGCATATGTGGTTGCTCACGTACACTGCAACTGTAAAAAGAATCCGGACATCGATTCAATGTATCGCCTAGCATCTCTTAAAGAAGGCTCTTGAAAGGCTACTAAAACAACCGAACATTCGTGAATTTTTTTAGTTCAGGGAGCGCGAGGTCCGGCTTTCTTTCATAGTCTGTTGTTTGTTCCGAAAATGTCCGTGTTGTTGGGACTGCAATTAATTTTTGTTAGACTATGTTTATATAATGATCACTCTCAACCCTCTGTCTTTGATTGACAATTTGCTATTTGTTGATATGTTACTCTGATGTATGCTTCAAATTTGTAAGTGCATATTTTGTTTGTAATATTGCTGAAAAATGTATGCAATATGTGTCACTACGATTCATCTTACTTGGCATCATAATGATACATTCTTGTTCTTACATGAGTGGCGCGGCACAGGTTAGAATTCAAGTCGCATGATACTTCCTGTTTTACACGCCAACCGACAGAAACTCTCTGTGAGACGCCTCTCAAAAGCACTAATAGGCTTTGTTTGGCTGTCCCTTTCTATGAGCATTGCGCGCCGGGATGTGTAATGACACAATATTGTCGCAATAGGCCTATCGTCTGCTCACTTAAATCCTCCGTGCATGAGACCGTTGGCAAGGCAGTGGAGCCTTCATGGGAAAACACTTCACTCCAAGCACTGGCGGCGGCGGCGCTCTTAGACTGGTACGAACGATTGCGAGCGTAGTTGCGTTTGAGTTTTGTGAAGATAGGAGACAAAGTGCGAAGGAGAGAAAACGCCTAGGGGGGCCAAGGTTGCTAAGGGGATTGTCGACAACGTTAGTAAAAACCCTCTAAGGGAAAAGACCGTCTGCAAGCTATGTGGAGAGAGCTGCGTCGGGATCTGAGTGGGGCATAATTGAGAAAGAGTAAGGCCCTGCGATAATACAACGAGGGCCTTTAGCTTAGGCTCGCTGCGTGCTGCTACTGCTGTTGGTTGTAGTCCAGCTGTCTATCCGTCTTGCGCCTGCTGCCTGCCTGTCTGTCTGGCTCGCAGCACGCGCATGCCCAGAGAGCGCACTTCCAATAGCGGTCAGTGTTCGTTGCTTGTCCGCCGCGTAAGCGCTTGCAACCAAGTCAGACTGAAAGCTCTTCACCCCGTTGTTGAGGTTGTTGCCCACGGCGCCGTCGTTCAGTGCGAAAACTGAGCGAAAAGTACGTCGAGCGCGTAGCAATAGCACACAGACGGCTAACGCCAGCCGCAGTATAGATACAGAAACTGCAGGCCGAGTGGAAAAGCCAGGCACGGCCATCGCAATTACTGCTACTAGTGAAACCATCATCGTCCTCGTCATCGTCAATCGCCATTCCCTTTTATCGTCACGATTACCAACGCGGTTTGTGTGCGTGTTATATTGTGAGAGCGAGTCAAAGCAATTGACGAAATTGTTCAACACGGACCGACTGAGTGCTACGGCGCTGTCAGCATGACCATTGTCGCAAGCAGGCTTCCAACGACGACGACGTACGCGATAACAAAGAAACAAGACAAAATCAGGCAACACTAGAGATTTTCGAAGAGAGCTTCTGACTGCTCCCTGCGTCTCTCCTACCAGCTCACTACCTGACAATATTTTTCTCTGTCACTCGCATTTAATATTTATTTTTTGTATTGTGCAGTGCGCGACATCGCTTTTATCCACAATACATTATACTACTATATTACAGTTATTGACTAAAATGAAAACAGGACAAATACAGCAGTATCTGAGCAGAGCGAACTGCTTCGGCAGTAACCGCGACGAGAGCCACAAAGCGGTGGCGTAACTTTTGGAATCTGTAATAATCTCTGCAGCTGCCGTAGCAGCAGGCCACGTTAGGCGCATGTGGCAGCTGCTACCGGCTTGCGTACTCTGTCACTCAAACTCTAGCGCCCGCTGCTACGACGCGACTATAATACTCGTTCTACTATTACAGATATCACTGAGCCTTCGGGCGAGTCGTGTCCAGGGAAGTGCCGTAAGTTGGGGCCTCGATCAAGTGTGATCACGCGTAACTACCAACCAGTCAGCCCGATAACGATAACGGCAGACAACGTAAATAATTTTGGCCGCTCGCTTTGTCCTATCTCTGCCGGACCATCGGCTCTCTGCAGCAGTAGCACTGATCTAAATATACATATATATATATATATATATATATAGACAGAGCGCGGCAGTAGGAAAGAAGAAGAAAAGGAGGAAAATAAAAGGAGGGTGGTCGTCGCGGCACTGGTGGTAAGTGCGGTGAACAATCTCGGGCCGACGACATTGGTTCAGGCTGACCAGCACACATATCGTTGATCGGTAAATAAAGAACAGAGACCCACGTCTGCGCCATTGAGATAGATCCTTAAGGAAGCGTACATACGCTAGTATACATTTGAACACAGTCAGATACACAGCGGACTAGAATCTAGAACCTGCGGAAGCAGTGTTGCGGCGTGCGATTGTAGCTGCGGGAAGTACAATAAACCTTGGTGCTTTTCGAAGGCAACACGCAAACCTCCAACGTTAAGTTCCTGCTGCTGCCGCCGTCACCGCCGCCGCCGCCGCCGCCACTACTGTTGCTGCTGGTGGCGACGCCAGAAGCAGCTGGCTGGCCAGTGCTGCCGCTGCTACTGCTATTCGGGTATCTGTCTGTGCACAGGCCAGAAGCGGAAAGAAAAAAGCTTCTTTGGCTCAGCTGGTGGAAGGTCTAGAGAGCGGCCTACTGGTCGTCGGCTGGGGACCCAGCAGTGGCAAGGGTAGCACAACGCCACCACAAAACAGCAAAAGCGCAGCCGCAATCGTCACATCACACCAGACAAGGCAGGAGTCGAGCATTATAAACTTACATACATAGTGGTGGTTTAGGTGGCACGCGCACGTCGCATGCAGCCAGCCGACGGCGGCGGCGGCGGCGGCGGCGACGACGACGAAGAATCATCGCGACTGTCATAGACGGTGCACCAGCACCGTACTAGCGTCATCGTCGGTGCTAGCAGCGCGAGAGAAGGCCGGTCCCTGCTCGTCACTGGTATCGGAAAGCCAGCGAGTGAATAGAACGGAACCAGTGAACAGAGGCACAGGCCAGGAACTGCAGTTAGCCTGCAGGCGGTCGGCCTGACACATTACCGCTCCTCTTCCTGCTGCTGCTGGTAGTGGTAATGGTGGGTTTGTGTGGCGGGGCGACTGAAGAAGGTTTTGCGGCCTGCGCTCGCTTGTGGCCGTTCACGCCAGCAGTTACGGCCAGCATTAGACAATCGGTGGCAGAACCTACTGGCCAGTCAGCCACCAGATCAGGCTCGCCGGCCCCGTAGCAGCGGCGACAGCCACAACAAGTTTAGGGCAGCCGAGGCGATACGCTACAATCTCTATGGCTACGACGGCTGCGAGAGCGTCGTAGGGTCGCAGCCTCTCAACGAGGACTACGACGACGGCGGCGACAACGACCGACAGTAACCGACCGCTGCTGCTACTGCCATAGCTGCGGAAGCTCGGCAGTAACGCGCGGTGTTCGGCCAGTTTGTCGGCTTGGCATGGTCTGGTCCCGAGCCTGAGCTGCCCGCTGAGCCTGATTTCGGGGTGGGTAAAATAAGCGCGGCCAGCCGGCCAGCTTGCTGGCTGTCTGGCTAGCTAGGTGGCTGTTAACAAACGAATGAATAGCGGGCCAGCGAGCACTAGCAGGAAGAACCACGGTAGCAAAAGAAGGCAGCCAGACCTGCCGACAGGCCGCGAAGGCTACCAACAGAGCCGTGGTGGCTCGAACGCCAGCAGCAGCCGCCTGACCGACCAGCAGTTCGGAAGAGGCCGGATCGGACCCATCGGGCGGCAGGCATACGACGGGACTGGCCAACAAGCAGTTTAGTCTCGTCGCCTTAAACCGAGCTGCTGCTGCTTCTTGATCCGAACGAACCCACCGAAGAAGCAGTGTGAATCGTAGTAACACTAACTCACCAGCTGGATAAGCAACAGTAACTGGACCACAACGACATCGATTAGCGGTAACTGATTCTCTCTAAGTTCCAGCTATTGCTCCTCCTCCAGATAGTGCGACCGATCGAACAAGCCACAAGTCCGCAGTCCAACAAACACGCGCGCCGATCGTGTTCGGTAGTAGATCGGCGGCCATCACCATCCGTGTTCGTCACTCGTGCTTTATACTCCTCATTGTTCTCGTCTCGTCGTGCCGAACTGTGCTCAACACACGCGACGCTTGTTACGACAACTGCGGCTATCAGTACTACCGTCGCTATCACTTCTACAGCCATTGTAATAATAGGCGTTATACCAGGAACTACCGTAATAGTACCCACACTAATTATTATAAATAATAACAGCAGCGGCGGCCGCAGCAGGCACACCATCAGCGGTCCTACAGCCGGTTAGAGTTACGCGTAGTATATAGTTGTGTGTGTTCTCCGGCAACACCTCCGGCTACTAGCATTCCGTCTACGTGAGTGTTTATGTTATATACATATATATATATAAAAAAGGAGGAAAGAAGGCAAAGATTAAACGAGGAAGTCAATTTCGTGCATGCTCAAGTCCACGAAGGGAATCACCTTTGGACGTGTTTGTTGTGACCAAGCAATGGATGACCATAAAATAGTACAGCGTCATGACAGTAACAACTGCAGGATTACGCGACCTATTCATTGTTATACAAATGTTGAGTGTCTAGTGAGTTAACAATAGTTCTCAGTATCGCTGCAACCAGTAAAATTTTTGTGTCAGAAGTCGAAGTTGGCCACCAACGGCCATTCATACCAGCAGCATGGATGCTATCTCGTATGAGGCCAATTTTCTACTACAGTAACAGAACCTAATTGTTTACGGTGTCCATCTCCCCGTGTTCGCCCGTGCTTCGCCTTGTAAGTTATACCTGTTTGAGTGCAAATATTTGTTCCGGATCGGACGAATTCGACATTGTCTGAAGGCCACCGATAAGCGAGTAAGAGATAAAAGGGTTTTCGACATAATAGATAATTCCGGACATTGTTAGGCCCTCTGGCGATGGTTGTTTGAGTTTCCTAGCTAGTTTGGACAGGTGAAACTTCAGTTGAATACTATATTACCGGTTATAACCGACCCGTGAAGTGATACAAACTGCCGGCCTCCTCATACTTTTTCAAAAGCAATACATTGCAAATTCTGCTCTAAACAATATTTGATCGTTTACTTTTACAACAAAAAAAAGGGTAGGATGATGAAGACAAGGGCTGCAGGAAGAAGGGTGAACCAATGAAAGAAAAACCTAGGTAAGATATGAATAAAAGGCAAATGATCAAGTATTGTTTTAGCGACTTGAAGAGTGCGCTGTGTTCCACTACTACCGTTACTCTAGAGACGATCGCGGATTTAGGTTCTATACTGTTTATTTATTTTCGGTCGGACTTTAACAGCCTCTTTAGGTTATTCATTGTCTCCTGTGGCATGGGGACGGACCGGGCACTAGGCTAGGTTGGCCCGCGACGACTTGTGGCCTGCTACTGGTGACCACCGCCACTGTCTCGAGCTTCGGTCTGCGAGCATCCCGCAGGCCTTTAGTAGCCCCGATGATTGTTCGGCATTTGCACAGCCGCCGATGCAATACGTCGGCAGTTCTTTTGTTGCCGCGACGACCGACGACGACTGGTTGTCTGTGCTTTGCCATGGCCTGCACTCCGCACTGCACGAATTTCGTACCCAGAGCAAAGGCGCAAAGACAGACATAGATAGCAGAGAATGGCGTTCGTATCTCGGTACCACTACGCCGGCTAGCTTGTCGTACTATGAAGGAATTTGAAATCTACTCTTTACGACTACTTGCGATTCCCGCATCTCTCGTCATTTAAAAAAAGTAGGTTTTACGGATGGCTGAAAAATAGCTATGTTGGATGGCCGAAGGAGGGAGTTGCAATGTTACAGGGTGGCGTTGTGGCGCGGAGCCAATAAATCGGTAGTGATTCTACCAAACAAATCGGCATCGTAATCGTATACGCACAGACGTAAGAAAAGGTCTGAGAGATATCGAAAAGAATATCCAGACGCTTTATTGATATCTCGATCAGGTTTCGGTTATGATCAGTGCTTACTCCATTGGCAAAATTAGTCATAATTCTGAAAAGTTAACGACGCGCCGTAGTTTGTCCAGCAGCTTCTAAAGGCTTATTGTACTTAGACCAAATAATTGACGAGAAATATCAATAGAAATTTGTTTGTGAGCCTTGTCCCACGGAATACGGTCTGAGTATTCATCAATGAGTGAACATTAGACTAAGTAGAACGGCTACGTGCTAGAAGATAATCTGAGTAATCAATTTCTTGAAGCTGCGCCGTCTTATCTATCTAACCAGAAGGGGGCATAGCGAAAGTTATGTGGATGGAGTGCACGCTTATTATTTTGTGCTCATGGGGGGATACGAAGCGAAACACTCGATGGGGAAGTAGGCTACATAGTTGATAAAGATAACCTATCAATGGAGCAGCGAGGTGATACTAAAATAACTATTGACGGTTTCTTATAAGTTTCGCGTACGGAACGCGTCGGGCATTATTGTGCGAGTCCAAACATGTTTCTTTGTCATTCATGTTGTTCGTTCCGTGGCCACAGTTAATGCACGTGCATGTATCTCGTATGCCTTTATCCTTACGAAAGCTCTTAATCCGATGGAAAAATTTAATTCAACATTTTTTTTTTTGGAAAGAGATTCTTTTTACAATGAGTTGTCAATTCTGACTTGCTGCACTGAATCTTTGCGCGTCCTGTTTTTTTGTTCGCTGGTTGACGTTTGTGAAGTATACTGACGGATGATTCACTGAAACCCGTTGGTTTGACTACTGCCAATTGCCTGAAAGAAGTGCGCTCCCGGGGAGCCCTACCGCTGCTTGCGGCTTGCCAACGACGGCCTCGTTGGCAAAAGAGCACCGATTTTTTAGGTTGTAGTACTGTTTCAATAGGCAGCAGCCGGCCAGCTAGCAGACAGGAAAGAACGAAGGTGATGTAGGTAGTGAGTCGGGACTGGCGAAGGTGCTCGGCGTGATGGTCCACCGATGGGCTGGGCAGTGGCTATATAGTCGGTTTAAACGGTTTCGGGCCTTGAGGGTAGATGAGAGAGTCTCGCGCAGTACAGAACAAGGACGATAGATCGCATGCGACCGCCACATGCCACTGGAAAAATGCCATACAGCAAGCGGCTCGAGTGTCAGCATAACGACCATATTGGCGTGCTAGCAATCAGCAGGTAACACTATTGGAGGACACTTCCTTACTTGTTTTCTCTGGTGCAGTGAAGACTAATATCGATTTCTACTAATTTATTCTGGTGTTTCTCTGTTTTGCTTCCAGCCAACATGGTGGACTGATCACATAAGAAGGCAACGGTTCGACAGCTCACGCTCGTAGAAGTACAAGCGAAGATAATCGAACGTAATGCAGCTAACGAAATATCAGTACGCCCCGAACTAGTGATACTGACATCAATACGATAGCACGAAGCCATTGGCATAATACATTCATACTAAATAAACCCACCATTGGCTAGGCATTTAACACGGGACGCATCACGTACATATACGTGCTGTGTGCAATATAATCACAATTTTTTCCCTTATTCAGTCAGTTAGTATATCCAGCCATTGTGATCTGATTCTGAACGCATCAATTAGAAGGCAAAATCAGCATCTATCATAGTGCATCAATCGCGTACCGAAAACAAATCAGGTGCGCTTTCGCCTTTACCTCGGGACCCGTCCTTCACAATTTCTCCCATTAAGTCACGCAACTCGTCACGTCCCTACGCAATGCACGGTTAAGACATCGAAACCTATTATTAAAAAGCCAGCTTCAAGCCATAGGAGTCGAACCCACAGCGGGAGACCCTTACTTCTGTTCGATGAGAAGCCACGCCGCCAGATTTTCACCGTCAGGTCCTGTCGTCTACTCTTGTTATCACCGCCAAGTATAGACGAAGCGGGCAACCCTCGCGTGGGGTCATGCTCGCAGCCAGCCTACTACGACGAAGTCCAGCTTCGACCACAGCGCCGTTCGCGTCACACTCACCTGACAGTTACACGAATAGGATAAATCCCGCCGAATTTGCCAATCCTCGTTTCAGCTTCGCGCCCTCAAAGCACAGCTTCGGCTTTCGCAAGGTCTACCCGCACACTTCTATTGAGAAAGACTATTAAACTACTGTTAAGAATTATTGCAAGCGGTTTAGAGAACCGATTGGAAAAACGCGTTGACTCCGTCGAGTGTAAATCCATCTTATGTACAGACTATTATTGCCAGCACTAGTTTGCCTAGTAGACGTAGATCAACAATTCTATTATAACTATTATTATTATAGTTGTTGTTCTCCTTGTTGTGATTATTGCTATTACTGCGACAACTACGGTTATCATAATCAAACTTCTCGCTGCTCGTTTAGTGGCTGTCGATCAGATCGAGGTAGAGGCGCTCACGGGAGGTACGTCATGCATCCACCATGAAAAAGCAGCAGTTGTGAATCGGACTCTATACTAGCCTGCTGACTCCAACAACTTATTATTATTGTTGTTGTTATTACTACTGCCTACTATCACTGTCAGTGCTATTGTTACTGCTACCGTAAAATACACAGTCTCACGTTCGATCAACCAGCCTCTATCGTCTATTTTTGGACCCGGTGTCAACATTTGCGGACTGTTGCAATTGCTTCTGGCCTCGTTCCCTTTGATCAATTAATTTCGTTATTACTGCTATAATTGTTTATATTGTTGTATTATAAACTATAATTGTACTCGTTTCCCGAGCTGCCAGTCATGATGCGGGAGGAGGCTTTGCCTATTCCCGCCACTTCAACATCGGCCTGAGCTCTTGACCTTGGAGGGGTCAAGGTTCTCAGCGATTCAAGGTGGTGACGTCTGACGCGCTAACGAGACACCGTACTGGCACCTTACTAGAACGGGCGGCAGACGCAGCACGCAGCAAAAGCGTGCGTGTCTGCTGCCATGGCTATGATGATGATGGGCGGTGCCGGAGCTAGCGGCGGCGGCGTCGGTCCGCACGTAGTGCAGTCGGGAGGCCGTTTCGATTTTGATGACGGTGGTACATACATCGGCGGCTGGGAAGACGGCAAGGCCCACGGCTTCGGTATCTGCACCGGACCCAAGGGCCAGGGCCAGTACTCGGGCAGCTGGAATTATGGCTTCGAAGTATGCGGTGTATACGTGTGGCCTAGCGGGTCGTGCTACGAGGGCTCGTGGCAAAATGGCAAACGGCACGGGCTCGGCGCCGAAACACAGGGCAAATGGGTGTACCGCGGTGAATGGACTCAGGGCTGCAAGGGCCGCTATGGAGTACGTCAGTCCCTTACCTCGGGCGCCAAATATGAAGGGACCTGGGCCAACGGTCTTCAAGACGGTTACGGCTCAGAAACCTACGCCGACGGTGGTAAGTACTAAAACCACTACTTTTCCCTGACCAACAACTGTATAACATCTACTAATAAGATTTTTGCTGCACTCACCCGTAGGTGTTACGTTGTAAAAAATTAATGGCCGTTTTTCAACGTTCCTTCTACCTTCTACTTTTTTATTATTTTCTTACATCTAAAAGTGGTCCTTTTTCTCCTCTCTAAGCCCGTTGGTATTTCATTGTGTAGTGCGCGCAAGTCTACGTTGAGTTTAGGCTCTAAAAATAAAAACCCTAAATGAAACTTAAATGTCAATAAATGTGCATTTCCGACGCCAGTTCTATTTTGCCTTTTTATGGAATCAAGAAACTATTGAAGCAGCATGGAATTGTCGCGTGCAGTATTCGCTATAGGCTCCACGCCTAAGCAGCCTGCTCTAGAGTGGCTTGCGAAGTTCAATAAAATGATCTTGAAACTGGAGAATGTATTTAGCCCCAGTCAGCCATCTGAAGTGAAGGAAAATCACCTGAAGGTATTTCGGAAGGAAAACAGCCAGCAACTTATAAACTGGGGCAGAAAATTAATCGTAAACATACGCTCTTCGACAGGCATCTTCAATCTATCAAATGTACGCAAAAATTAGGAGCCTAAAAGACCAGAGTAAGGAAAACAGATGCGACTCGGATCCAACATGTCGCCCATCGCCGAGCAATACGCCGATGCAATAATAAGTTTCTATACAGAATTGTTACCGGTGACGAAAAATGGTGCCTCCACGTCAATATGAAGCAGAAAAAAATGTAGGTAGCATCCGGGAGATAGGCGCTTAGGCCCAGAATAAAGGCAGGTCTTTATCCCAAAAAAAACATGGATTTGGATTTAATGGCCCTGGAAGTGTTCCTTGCATTAGGGAATGTGCGAGAGGATCGAGACAATAAGCCGCAATCTGTATATGGCCTACTTGAATCGAGTGAGTGAGATAATCTAACAAGAAAAGGCCCGATAGACAAGGCAAAGTTCGTTTTCCGCGCCAATGCTAAGGAGTACATGACAAAGGTTCATGGCAGGCTTTTTTGCTTTTACTATAATCTCCAGACTTCGTACCTACACCTTTTTCAAATACTGAAAAACGAAGTTACATCTAGTAATGAAGAGTATTTGACTGGACGAGCTGTCTAACAGCAAACCTGAAAATTTACAGCCGCTAGATATAAGATGCTTGAAAGACGAAGGAAGAACATAAAGAGCCACAGTGAATACCTTACAAATTCATTCGCTATTGGAATTGAGTAAAACGTTATACTCTTTTTGTACACTGAAAAGCGACTCTTACTTATGTTACAACTGAATATGTGGTTAGAAGTCAGTAGCATTTAATTGATAGAACTGTTATCCGCAAGATCAGACCGTGTATGTGTGACGAATATACATGCGCAACTCGTTTTAATTCTACATAATAGAGTAAACGAATAGCAGACAGATACAAATCTGTGCAAGTAGTAGGGTTTAAAAAACGCTGAACTAGTGACGTCCTCAAAAGTGTGGAGGGTACCTGAAAGAGGCACAATTTGTAATTAATCTATTACTAAACAAATGACTATATGGTCGTCTTACTTTGTCTTGATGAATCTGCACTTGCCTACGCTGATGTGGACATAAATGTATTTCTTAATGGTAGCTCCATACAGAAGGCATCATACCAAAACTTAGTTACAGTAAAAACAAACAATAGCGGCTTAGGCGAACCAACGATGAGTTTAGCTGTGTACGAGTATAATGTTGACTGGCCATATTGGCACCGATACATGTCACATTGCTGTGAACAGAGAACTTTACAGCCAGTCAGATAACGTTGTATACTGTCTTTGGTCAAGGAGCTGGCCAAAAAAAAGCTTAAGCAATATCGAAAAATTCGGTGTACTGCACCTGCGGAGCGCTGCTCGACATTCTATTGCTTACCTGCATATCATCGGTAATACACTCGGTATTATTATTATTATTGCAGAGTTAGTACAAGATGTGGGGCGGGTAATTCTCCTATATAGATATATGGCATTTCCGAACAATTCCATATGATATTTACAGTGACTGAGGATTGAGTGATTCCTAATATCGAATTCATTATTCGACTAGTACATGAATTTGAAGTATAGTCTATTTGTCGTACAAGGCTCCCCTATTAGTAGACACATAAGGGAAAAAGTGTTACGTAATACCCTAGACTAATGAAAAGGGGATATTAGAAACTTAAACGTTTGACATATTTCGACGGATCGCCGCAGACACAGACATATCGTGTTTAGTGATCGAGCGATGAAACAACTGATACAACTAAGCTCAAGCAAAAAACTGATTGCCAGTACCTTTTAAAAGCACTAGCTTTCTTGTTTAACGGAATCAGCTTGCTCAAACGCTTACATAGGTCTGCGGCATAAAAGAGGATAAAAGTCTGTGCGGACACGTATCGGCGTTCATTCTATTGGTTAAATCATAAGATATTAACGAAATTGAGTAAATTATCAATCATCGATTGAGCAGCGCATCCGTAAGCACATAGCGCTCTGGATCTCGTGTTTCAAGCGTATTCTAGAGCCCATGTCATTTACCAAATAAATTTTGCTCTGTTAAAAAGCATGTTCTATTACACGCTCGGTATATTTAATATTGTTTTCTATGGTTACCTTATGAAACCGCTGACATCTTTAGCGTTCTATCCAGAGCGTGTATGTTGCAGAAATTTGCAGGTAGGAGCACTGCCGATTTCATGTTAATAGCGAGAGTAATACATTGACGTTGGGTGTGTGCATAAAACTGTGTTGTGTACACATCTATTTCAATGTAAAGTAAAGCAATGCGATTGATCCTTGAACTTGGAAGACTTCCTTTATTCCCATATGTTTTGTTCCCACTTTCTATATATATACACTGTTTTTCAACCGATTCAACCCAATTTCTATTTGCGCTTATTTGGAATCGTTCGTTTTGCTAAATCTATGTTATATATGCATACAACTATACGTATATGTAGATGTGTGTTGAAGAAGTGCGCCGTTCGTCGAAGACCGAAGTATCGAGCAGCGGTTGTAGTTTTCATACTTTAACCGCATACATACAGTTACTTTTTTTCTTAAATACACAGCCGTTACACTCTGTAATTCCTATGCTTACAGATTATCAGATATAGTTCACGCTTCTGTAAACCTCGTGTTTTAACTGTCGAGCGTCATCGCTGCGGCGCTTTCCTACCGCCCGCCGCCCTCGCGGCTACACGCTGTCCTTACATTCCCTCAGCGCTGTAGGTGCTTCTATACGGTATACGGTGGATTGATCTCCGCACATCAGCTCTCCGGCTTTTTCCATCACTCTCAAATCTTTGGCTCTAGGCCAAGTACTGCCCCAAACCATGTAGGCCACGACCCGATGCCGTTACCGATTTAACTGGTTGAAGCGACGGTGGACCGTTTTTGTCGGCGATCCGGCTGCTGACCGGCCTGCCTCAAGCGGTAAATTGATTCTGGGTTATTACTAAACTATGGACAACTATGCGGCAGGCTAACAATATATGTCTGAGCGGTTAGAGCCTTTATATGGTAAGCGCGCCCGAACTCATCCTCCATTATATATATATGTACATAATTGCCTCCGGAAAAGAAAACAGAAGAAAATGTCCCTGTGTATTGTCTTCTTGCGTTATCCCAGCTTAGAGGATTTAATTTGCCTTATGTATGTAAAACAATGTCAGCCAATTAATTATCTTTCCCGGGACAGCTTAATCCGTTTAGTGCAATCTTTGGTCATAGCATAAATTTCATAAATTACTTAACAAAGTTCTAAAATAATAATAGGACTTGAACTGTCCTCTGTCATCGACTAATATGAATATTACAGACCCAAACTTAGCTAAATTTTGTCACGCAATCAAGCTACGTCAAGACAAAGCTATCGTCTTACCCTATCTTGGAACTTAGCAGACGGCATGATCACTGGAAAAACTGCTGGTGTGTAATAGTTAGTCTAGCCATCTCGCCTCATACCGTAAACTGCCACTTCACCGGTCAAGTGGGTTACCTGACCTGACCGTCCTCGCCTTCTGTAAAACTTCTTGACGTTCCGGTTCTGGATTATTTTTGGCGTGTGATAAACGTTAAAAAATTGAGGGGTTAAATCTCAGGACCGAGGACTTGTCATTGCCGCCGCGCCGCAAGAGCAACTAGACCAGGAAAATAATTCCCAGCAGATCGATTGTTTTCAGTGAGGTGGGACAAGCTACTGGCTCTTATTGAAACCAAAGGAAGGAACCGTTACTAATACATAACGATAAAGTTCGCCATGGATTCTTACTACCGTCGCATCGCCTTGTTCGGGAAAAGATCATCTTCTCACACTCACATGCAGTTTGTGTGACTTGGTGAATGCTTGTTTGTGTGGGTGAGAGTCTTTGTCAACGACATAATTGCTCGACACAGAGAACAAAGTCCCAAGTGCGATAATTTTGGCATAACCATTTAGCTTGAAAGAAGATGATGTGTTAAAGGAAGTCAGTAGCACGTGTCTCGTACTGCAGTATGTGACCAGCGAATGAACGGCGCTTGTAGCGGCCCTGGACTTTCAGACCGACAGAAAGGCCACCCACAGAAACTGCTGAGACTCTTGTTTAATAGTCCGCCGATCGCGGCTTGTTTACAAACACAGACAGAGAGGACGGAGCAGAGAGAGCCCAGGCACTTGGTGCACTGTCTATACTGTATATACAGAGTGAGCATCTACGCCGGGCTGTTTGGTACTCCAGCTCTTTCTTAAACGAAACGAGATTCCAGCACAGAACAACAGCAAATTCACGACAAAAAAAATACTGAAGACTTCAGACTTCATCGAATCCGTCCAAAAGTACATTTCGAATGATCCCTCTGTTTTAATTAGGTCGTTAACGTAGGCGTTATATTCAAGTGGACGTAACATGCAACGGATCGTTCGCAAGAGCCTCAGGTACACGTCACATGTGACAAAAGTCAGACGTATGCTTTCCGAGGCCAGTAAG